CTACGGTACGAAAGTGCAAAAACGCATAATCGCTCCGGCCCGCCTGGTGCGTTCCAGCCTGGGTCAGATATTGTTACATCACTCACTTGGTGTCACACTTTCATCCTACACTCTGTCTTTGCATGCTCAAGAAGGAATACATTAAGCATCATTCTTTCGTTGCTCCTCCGTTACCGAAAATGTCCTTTAGTCATCCGACAGTTGGCAGTGTTGCGCACTGTAGTTTTGCATTGCTTTCAAGTTCGTAACCACAACAAGAAGTACAACATTCTTCCCTTTCACCCACAAACAATTCGACGCTGCTGTGTAGCATACACTAACCAGCCGCTTCTAAAAGGAGTATGTGGCTGCCCGTCAGTGTAAGCCGAGAGCTCAGATAAGTGCTATTAACTGACTTCAAGGATTAATAACTCAAAAGTGAGGCGATAAAAGGAACGTCAGGTTACCTGCTGCGTAACTGGCCGTTCCAGGCATTTCAGAAGTACAAATTTAAATAAAAACAACTACTGCGCAACCTGGATGACATGTTTTGGTGAGGTGCAGTACTCGCGTATTCCATGACTGTAAAGCTTAGCTGCTTCCTGTAACTGTCCCATTGCGATGTGTTGCTCAAAAACGTCGTTGAATGCACGACGCGTAGACTCCTGCAATATACCACTAATTTATACTTGTCAAATGATATGAAGGCTGATATCAACCACGCGGAAAATTGTTCTTAGGTACCAACAATCTACCACACTCCCTTCTAAAACACTGAAAATATTGCTACGGCGTAAATTCCTACGCTTTTACATAACACGCGAAAAAAGAGCATCGAAAAAAGCCAATTTCCTTAATCCCTAGGCTTACTCGGTGGCAGTGTTTCACCGGCAGCTGCACTGCGCCAACAGATAGGTCATTCTAAACCTGTAAACAAAAGCGTGTAATAACTCACAGGCCAATTCTGACGATTTTGTCAAAAGTTCTCTAATTACATGGGAAGGTTGACAGTCCCAAGATGG